AGGCTGCTCAATGTAATGGAAAGCCTGATGGATTAGGAATCAGGAATTCTAACCATTCTATAGCTATTCCAAGTTAAACTGATATTGACTTAACTTCTCAGGGCTTCCAATTCCTCATTTACCAAAACAGGAATGAGGTACAGGTAACACTAATGGTATCCGCCAACCCTACTATTTTCCCTATTTTCTTTTCCTCTTCTTCTTCTTCTTTTTTATTTATTTATTTATTTATTTATTTTGGTTTTTGTTTTTTTGAGACAGAGTCACTCTGTCACCCAGGCTGCATGATCTTGGCTCACTGCAACCTCCACCTCCCAGGTGCAAGTGATTCTCGTGCCTCAGCCTCCTGAGTAGCTGGGATTACAGGCATGTACCACCAAGCCCGGCTAATTCTTGTATTTTTAGTAGAGATGGGATTTTGCCATGTTGGCCAGGCTGGTCTTGAACTCCTGACCTCAGGTGACTCACCCACCTCGGCCTCCCAAAGTGCTGGGACTACAGGCATGAGCCACCACACCTGGCCTCTGCCAACCCTGCCATTTTCCTATGACAGGATTTCCATGTGGCATATATGTAGCATTTCAGTGACACAATCCAGCCTCATTGAAGACTGGTGTCTCACCCTTTCCAGGCAGAATCATTTGCTGCTGCTGCTGCTACCCAGAATCACATAGGAGGTTGCCTAAAAAGGGAGGCCCTGAGTGGAGAGGAGCAGCAGCTGCATGCCTTTCCCACTGGAACAAGAATCACTGGAGAGAAGTGAAAATATTTGTAATTTTCATGTTCAGCTGGTGCATACGTCAGATAAATGTTGTACTGTAGGTTATTTTTCTTGACATTGGGATGAACTTGTGCTGAGCTTTATTTACTTTCTTGCCAAACAAATGCCAGCATATATTTAGAAAAAGCCATTCAGGAAAGTGCATAGATTCAGCAATGCTCTAAAATTTAAGCTCCATGACCTACAAATAAATCAAACCCTTGGCTTTGCCTTACTGGAACTTGACACTCACCAATCGAACTAGACAGTTTGGCTATACCAGCAAAGATAAGATGTTGTCCCAGGTCAAGTGATCATAGCTCCTTAAGTAGGAGTAACTCCAGAGCAGGCTAAACACCAGCTAGACTGTTTCCTCTGTCCAACAGGACTTCACTGGATGGCAGGTGGTCTTCTAGGACTTTAAAGAATTTCAACCTATCTGATTAGAACTAAGTAGTTAAAACAGGCCTTCGCTTTTTAGGTCATGGAGACGTCTCTCACATCACTACGAATAGCCAACCAAAATAACTGGAGCTAAACAGTTGGGATGGGTAGAGACAGCTACATCTTAGAATAGCAGCAGATTATGATGAAAAAATCTAAATACAATATCAAGCCGATTTGTAGACGTCAAGATTTAGAGTAGCTCATCTTCGCAAGCAGGAGAAGCACTCTTATGAGGGTAGAAGCAGGAGTTATCCAGTTTTACTATAAAAGAAATATACCCATGCAAATTAATCTTAGTATCATATACACAAACACTTTCTACTTCCCAGGTCTTATTCTCTGACTCTCCTATATTTGGCTGATGACTTTGGTCCAGGAATTGTGTCTTAGACGTATCTGTTGCTGACTTTGCTTGGGTCATTGGGCTATTTTGATGTAGTGTCTAGTGTCTGACCTGGGCCATGAAAACTCCAGTTTTCAGCATTCCATCTATGCTTTCTTCAGTGTATACACACAAGTGCTTCTTTCTAACACTCCCATTCATGTGTAGGTCCAGTACCAAAGGACTCACCCCCAAGGAAGTTCAGTGCGAGCAGTTTGAGCTACTGGGACACACAGCTATAAGAACTGTAAAAAAAGGAAGTTCCAGTAGAGAACACAGTTTGAGCTACTGGGACACACAGCCTTAAGAACTGTCTTGGGCTTAACACATTTAGTACAAATGATCCATTCTAGGCTTAGAATTTATTCTAGAATGCTTCTACATAATAAAAATTAGAGAGAGAATGGCAAACTGAGTGACTGTGTTGACGTTGTTATGGTGAATGGCGCAGGGCTCCTTAATCCAAAAAGGATCCCATTCCTGTATAGAGAATGCCCAACACCTTTTCTTCACTCTTCTTCAGAAGTGCCTAGAGTGGATGCCTAAGTTATAAACAGGAGACCTAAAATCCAAGAAACCTTGGATCCCCTTCTCTGGGCCATCACTCCTTCCATATAGAAGTGGCCATTCTTACCTGTTTGTCCTACTGTTTCCCTATAGACATCTGCCATAACATCAACCACATGTTAAACATTTCTCACATTTCCCTTTGCTTCTCTGGGAGGACTATACACCCCTTGTTCAAAAGTAAAGACTGTGTCAGGTTGGTGTTTCTGTTTTGGTTTGTTTGTTTGTTGCATTTCTAACCTCAAACATAGTGCCTGGAACACACCAGGGCTTCAATCTATGTCAACGTCCTGTAGGAAAAATGAACAAAAGATACTCAAAAGAGTCTCCACTAAGGAATCAGTTTCAATAAAGAAAAACAATGTCATTGGGAATCTCAACTTTTCTTTGCTAGCAGAGAAGAGTCCTATAATTTTTACACTCCACTGATTCATTCTGAACATGGTGTCAGGAACAATCCAGGGGCAAAAAACAATTAGTAGGGGAACAAAACAATCAGTTGAACTGTCTGGGATTTGAGTGATGTATACATCAAGTATCTTAAATTTGCTAAGCTTCTTCTCATTTGGCCAGAATGGATAACTCTTGGCTGCACTGCACCAAGAATAATTGTCCCTCATATATCCCCAATCAGCTGCCTTCTAATGACTAGTCATAAGTGACAATGTAAAAGTTGCAGTGACTTTCACTGTTCTTGGCAAGTTTTGGACCAACTCCCATTGATTCACCCTTGAAATGGGTGAGCTCGGAGACACCTTGTACAGCTGGCTACAGTCACTGTGTCCTGCCTCTGACAATCACAAGGCCCTTGAGTTAAGCAGAGACCCAAGAAGAAGAAGTGAGATATCTGAGATGACCTTTATACTGCCTTCATGGATAACAGAAGATCCGCAACACTTTGGCAAACACCAAAACTGTCTCATGCATCTCAGAGACAAAATGACCTTTCTATCTTCCCCAACTAGCACCAGAATAGGTTACCCTACAAAGATATTTGGAAAGAGCCCAGGCACCTGAAAGACTGATCAGCCCCTTGTAGTCTATTTCTGTCCTGGATGGGTATTTCCTCATCATAGGTCCTGTTCTAGTGGTTGCTGACTTGAAAATTCCGTGAATTTTAATTTTAATTCCATATGCTCTAAGAAAGCTCTCTTTTCCTCCTTTGTCCTCGTGTCCTGTATTCTATTTCTGATCTGACTGTAAGAAGGTTTGTCGTTCTCTTGAAATACACCTTCGCTAGTAACACAGTTGGCCCCACAGTTGGTCTCACAAAAACCACGCCTTGAAAACTGGTCATTCAGCCCTTGTTCCAGGCCTGGCCCAGGATCCATCCACATCACCTATCTTCTGATACTTGGACAATTTCTGGCCACTGGCCATTGGTCTGTAGAGATGAGACCCTGCAGGTCTCTCCTCAAAACGTTCTTCTCTTCTCTGAATCTCCATGTCTTTCTTTTCTGTCTACTAACATGCTACTGTCTTATATCATCTTATTACAGCTTATCATATAGATGTCTGAACTCCTCAGCTAAATAAATGATAAACTTCTTAAGGCCAAGAACTATGTCTATACAGGTACGGCATTCTCAAAGCCCTAAAGCTATACCCTTAGCAAAAACTTGGTCTTGATGCAAATTATCCTTTCATAGAATTTAGAAGCTGACAGCCTGTGGACTTGATTCGGTGTGCTCGGCATATAAAAAAATAGACCAAGTTGCAATCTGCAAATAACTTGACAGGAATCTCCTTGTGTTGATGTTGTCCCTCTTCTTGCCTTTATCTCTGCCCTTTACTTAAACTGTAAATCAGGTGCAATTGTCAGATACTGAAGTGGTGAATGAAAAGGGAATCCTCCTACCATTCTGACCTGGCCTACAGGGTCAGCCCTCATCTCTTTGGTCCCCTCTCATGCCCCTCTTCCCCACCCCCACAGTTCCCCAATTCCATTCTGGACATTTTTCAGAAAGGAACAAAGCATCCAGTTCATTCTGGACTTTGTTCAGGTCCTCAACTGTGTCAGGGTTGCTCACTATATGGTGAACCTGTATAGTATGTTGGGTCTCCTTGCAAGGGCCTCCCAAGCTTCTCTATACCTTCTCTTTAATGATGCTGATGAGAATAATTATGACTTTAATAATCACTAACATTAAATGCTCAGGAACCTATTAACTCATTTAATCACCATTAGTATCTTGTGAGGTAGGTGCCTCATCATTTCTATTTTACAAATGAGGAAGTCAAGTCTCAGAGATATTGACTACCATGATGAAATTACCATCACTGTATGAGGGCCAGATTTCTCACCCAGTCTGGTCCCAGAGTTTATGTTCTTAATTAATGCATCACTCTGCCTCTTATAAAACTCACCATGTTTGTAATCAGTTATTTAATGGCTAAGTATTCCACTAGGCAGCAAGCTCCATAAAACAGAGATGAATCTGTCTTGTTCAACATTGTATTTCTAAAGCTGAACCCAGGAGTTAGCTTGTAGAAAGCACTAAAGAAGCACAAGTCAAATGAATGAATAAAACAGCCATTTGGCTAGCCCCCCTTGGAGTCCTAAAAGAGAATTATTTATCCTCTCTAAATAAAAAATATTTAATCAAAAAGTATCAGAATTACAGTAATATTTATTATAAAGCTTCCCTTTCTGCAACTCAGTCTTAGCCAAACAAACCCAAGCATTCAAAACTAGAAAGGGTGCAATCTGGAAATCAGTAAGCCCAAAAACCCTTGGAAGAAAGAAAACGCAGGTAGGTGCAAAGGCTTAGACTGTCCAGGGATCCAACTATAAGACACCAGCCCCACTCAGGCCCTCACTTGCCATCCTCCAGGCTGACTCACCCCTTTCGCAGGTTCTTCCCCAGTATCCGGTGCCGGTGCAGTCACAGATGAAGCGGTTCCAGCCGTCCTTGCACACAGCATTGTTCTTGCAGGGGTAGCTGTCACACTGCTTGGCGCTCATCCGTGAACAGGAGGACTTGACACCCGCAGCGTTCTGCATCTCTGCCAGCTGTCGAATGTTCTTGCTGCGCCCATCAATGAACAGGTCGCGAATGCAGCCCACGTAGCCATAGTTGAGCATGGCAGTCCACAGCTCGGTGGGGAGAATAAGGCCAGCACGGTTCTCTGGCAGCCCTCCCAGGTACATGTCTCCTTCCAGGTCCAGGATCTCGCTCTCCCCACTGGCGGTGAATGGCGTGCGTCTGCTGTTCACTGATATAGTACCTGGGGTGGGAAGACAGATCTCAGGTGAGTCTGCCAGTTGCTTAACCAAATGAAAGAAGCCTAACAGGTGAGTGCTGAGACCAGCCATTGGCTGGCCAGGAGAGAACAATGCAAGCAAGAAAACTGGATGTTACAAGACAATGGAAAAGACAATGTAGGCCGCTTGGTTCCAATCTCTGCCAGGTAAGTCAACCTGGTGCTTAGGAAGACCCAGGAAAATCTCAGTAACCTGACATCTAGTGTATCTTTTCTCTACTTAACCCTCTTGGCTGAGACCATACAGGTTGAGAGCAGCACAGTTCCTGCTTGTATTTAAATTCCAGCTCTAACATGTATGAGCTGTATAACCTTGAAGAAGTGACTTCACCTTCCTGTGCCTCAGTTTCCTCATTTGTAAAATGGGAAAATAACTGTCTCTACCTCATAGGTTGATGTGATTAAATGAGCAAATATATGCAAAGTACTTTTAAGAGTGACTGAGACAGAATGAGGCCTCTGTATGTTTGCCTGGGTTTTCTTCAAGGGCTCACCAACCCCCAAAAGATGGAACTTCCTCTTCTGTCTCTCCCTCCATGCACTGGTACTCTCTAGATTGGGCATTCACTACCAACCCTGCCAGTGAATATTTTGAGCATTCTCTGTGATACATTTTAACTGAAACATTATTCCTTATTTAATCATTTAATAAAGGTGTATGGAAGACCTATTCTGTCTCTGGTATAGTTCTAGGCACTGAGATGAACTTGATAGGCATGTCTCTCCTCTCATTGAGCAGATGTTCCAGAACAGAGGGACAGAAAATAAATGATATGGTTTGGCTGTGTTCCCACCCAAATCTCATTTTGAATTGTGGTTCCCATAATCCCTGCATGTTGTGGGACAGACCTGGTGGGAAGCGAATTGAATCATGGGGACAGTTACCTCCATGCTATTCTCATGATAATGAGTGAGTTCTCACAAGATCTGATGGTTTTATAAGTATCTGGCATTTCTCTGGCTGGCACTGCACTTCTCTCTCTCCTGCTGCCATGTGAAGAAGGACGTGTTTGCTTCTCCTTCCACCATGATTGTAAATGTACTGAGGCCTCCCCAGCCATGCTGAACAGTGATTCAATTAAACATCTTTCCTTTATAAATTATCCAGTCTTGGGTATGTCTTTATTAGCAGCATGAGAATGGACTAATACAATAAGTAACCTAATAAATGAAATAAATTAGCTAAGGGCAGGTGCTAGGAAAAGAATAAAATGGGTGGTGTGCTAGCTACTCATGCATTCTACTTTAAAATGTAGAGTCACTGAAAGTCTCTCTAGGCAGGTAAAAGTTAAGCTGAAACCAGAATGTTGAGAAGGATGCAGCCATGCAAAGTCCAGGAGAGAGAGCATGCCAGGCAGAGGGGATGGAAGCTACAAAGGCCCTGAGGTAGGAAGTAGTGTGGCTAGAACAGAGAAGGCAAGAGGAGGTGAGCAGGAGATCAAGTCAGAGATAAGCAGACCCAGGAAGGGGATGGAGTTTGGACAGCATCAAATGAGATTGTAGAAGATGAAACTCCACAAGCTAACCTGGGACCTTGAGAACTGGGATTCTAGTCCTAAATGTCTTTATGACCCTAGGCCAGTCCCTGAACCACTTTATGGCTCAATTTCCCGAACTAGAAAATTAAGGAAATGGACTAGGTGATATCTAAACATCCTGTCAAAAATTTAAAAATAGGTATCTATTATTCTTGATGTGCTTTATTGGTACCAAGATAAATGGGTCGTGCCATCCATCAGTCAGCCTTCACCTCTGTCTGATTCTCAATTTCTCCAGCTATGAAGGGTATATAACCTGAAGGGCTGTGAAGATCAAATGACATCAAGAATAAAACATATACACTTTAAAGTGCAAAGTCAGCTGGACGCAGTGGCTCACACCTGTAATCCCAGCACTTTGGGAGGCCAAGGAGGGCAGATCACTTGAGGTCAGGAGTTCAAGACCAACCTAGCCAACATGGTGAAACCCCGTGTCTACTAAAAATACAAAAATTAACCAGGTGTGGTGGCAGGCACCTGTAATCCCAGCTACTCAAGAGGCTGAGGCAGGAGAATTCCTTGGACCTGGGAGGCGGGGATTGCAGAGAGCTGAGATCGTGCCACTGTACTCCAATCTGGGTGGCAGAGCGAGACTAGCACTCAAAAAATTTAATTAATTAATTAAAGTTTAAAAAATAAATAAAGTACAAAGTCAACACAAGAATAGAAACATAGAAAGGATATTAAGGGGAATTTAACAATCTGCTTCCCTACTCCCTCCTAGAAGTTTTCTCCTAGAGAAATATGCTTCGCCTTTTGTTTTTTAATCTTTCAAACACATATAACAACGATAATGTCCTGGCCACCATTTTAACTATTTTAGGTGCATTTTTGGACTTGATCCTCAAAACAATCTTGGTAGGTAGGAGTTATTATTTTCTCTATCTTACAAAGCAGGAAGTTGAGGTCTGTATCTCTTACTATTTTCTCTGTTGCATAGTTTTCTGTCTTTACCCCTCACATGTCCACAGGGCTAATCTGATCACCAACTAAAACGAGGGGACATCTATTGCCAAGTAAAGACAATACTAGAATCAATTTAAATTTTAGAGCCTTAAAGACAACCTGAGGAAAATCTGTCCTCTGAGTGTGTGACCATAACAGTTTTGAATGCACTTAACAAGTTCTAAGACTCACTTGCCCAAGTGAGGAGTGATTATAAAAGTTTTTCTATATCACTGTTAGTCATATTATTCTTCAAGATTATCAGGGAAGGAGGCACCACATTTAGATACACTTGTTTTTATAACTACCCTTTAGTATAGATTTATAATCTAAAACAAGTTACCAGAAAACATTCTCATGAAAAAAATGAAAGTTTAACAGATTGTATTAAAATTTTAGATTATACTGCTTTCATGGGACAATTGTTTGTTTACGCAGTACATTTTTATAGGCTTTGATCAAATTCATCAGTAGTTCAAAAAATTGGCTAGGTCGGGCGCAGTGGCTCACGCCTGTAATCCCAGCACTTTGGGAGGCCAAGGTGGGTGGATCACCTGAGGTCAGGAGTTCGAGATCAGCCTGGCCAACATGGTGAAACCCTGTCTGTACTAATTATACAAAAATTAGCCAGGCATGGTGGAAGGTGCCTGTAATCCCAGCTACTTGGGAGGTAAGGCAGGAGAATCACTTGAACCTGGAAGGTAGTGTTTGCAGTGAGCCGAGACTGCTCCATTGTACTCCAGCCTGGGCAGTAAGTGAGAAACTCTGTCTCAAAAAAAAAAAAAAAAACAACGAATTAGCCAGTGCTTTAGCACCCAGGTATGAAATTTAAGACTTCTGAAATTCAAACATATTTGTTGAAGTTGGGTCTACCAGTGGTTCAAACAACAAAAATTGTTTCACTACTTGCAAAAAATATATTGTATTAGGAGCAGACAGAAATGAACATATGGCAATTTTGTGTGTTTTAGCCTACCTGTGACATGGGTAGGTAACTTTTATGCTGTGCTAAGGTCTAGGTTAGTCAGACACAAAACCCGTCCACCATGACCTAACCTCAGAGATCCCAAACACATGCTCTTAAAAAACAACAGCAATGTTTTGTTTATAATTCTGGAACAGCTTTCTGACTCTGCCCTTGCTGTCATTTTACTGAAAAACAGAGAAAGAGAAAGAAAAGAAGAAGAAGAAGGATGGGGAGTGTGGCGGGATTTAGCCGCCAAAGAAATTAATTTTGGGGGTGTTTTTCTGTGTAAAAAGAACACTATTCATTCTTGCTTAACGAACACATTTAATTTGAAGGCTCTTGGTTCTGATCAGATTTCAGACAACCAATAAAGATTTCTACGGAGCAATAAAATAGCCAAGGCTGCAATCTGCCACCCGTCTGCCCTCTGCAAAGAATCCATCCAGCTCTTCCTAAGGGCAATATTGCTATCTCTGCCATCAGCCTAGCTTTGGAATTATGCAGAAAAGTCAACCCACCAAAGCTCAGTCACTCCCAGTTTCAGCCTTTTGGGGAAATTACTGCTCTCTCTTACTGGCCAAATGTACCTAGAAAGAAAATACCCAAATAAAGACTTTTTAATGTTCATCAGGAGAGTGAATCTCTATAAATATGGCACATGAAGCCAAGACCCTTCTTGAGTACATCCTACCTAAATGGAGAACCAGGAAATGAGTCTGAAATGCTAATGCTCTAATTACTGCTCTTGGGAAAATGCCCTTTCCGATAACACAGAATGTGACCTTCATTGCCACATGGTCCATAGAAAGCTAGGCAGACTGTCCAGGCATTCAAAAATCCCTGACTATTTTGCCCCACCCCTACCCCCACTTTGTTACTATTCCATAGTAGCTATGTACTGCCTGGGGCTAGCTTGTTTGATCTGCAGCTACAGAAATGAAGCCATTTAAACAAAATGTAAAAGGTTATGAAGAGGAAGAGAGAGTTAGTGAGGTCTGAACAAAGAGTGAAATATAGGCTTTTACACCAAAGGAAGGCTTTAAATTGAATGTATCTTCAGGAAAAATCAATTTGCCTTTTCATTTCTTGTCATAATTTCTCCATGCAACATGACTCTTGCCAATTATTGAAGGGTGTGTTGTTGCATAAACTCTTGCACAGTGAAGTTTATCCTACAGAATAATCACATAATGATGTCACAATCGGTTTCCATGGTGATGAGGAAAAAGAGAAGCAAAGAATGGGGGAATGGGGGCAGATCACACCAGTGACATGAGAGTTGCTCTGGTAGCACTGGAAATACTACTTGTAAAACCATCCTTAGCTCCAGGATCATAGAGCTATCACTGAGACAGTTGTGCAGTGAGTGACAAGAGAGAGAAGTGGAGAATGTGAGCCATCTATGAGACAGGTATCTTTTCAGAAACGTAATTTTACAACAGCCATTAAAGAGAGTAGCAAAAGAATCAACAAGCATGCAAGAGCGAAAGTTAAGAAATATAAAGCCAAAAAACAAACTGAGAAGCTACAGCTTTTGTCTAGTTTCAATCACACACCCTGCCTCTTCCTACCTGATCTGCCATCTCGCTGAATGTCCACATGGTACCATTCCCCATCATTGGCTTTCTTCTGAGTGGCTTTCACTTTGATGGTGCCAGAGCCCATGTCAAGCAGCAAGTACAGGTTGCCATCGAGGAGTTCCACGGCAAAGAAGTCTACTTTTGTGTTCTTTTGGCTCCGAGCATCCTTCCTCTCTTGGGGCTTTCCATGAGTGAAGAGGATTAGGCCATTGGGCTCAGTGGTACGGAAGTCAAAGGAGATGGAGCCCATACGCTTAGTGTTCCACTTGGGCAAGCTGATGTAAGCCTCTGGGGTCTCGAAGTTGATGGGGTCCAGTGTGGCCACATTCTCACACTTAAACACAACTTCGCCATAGATTTTCATCTTGGTATCCCCAATTCGGGCCAGGCGAGACAGCTCCAGACGGATGTCATTATTCTTATAAACAACCTGTCAAAAGCCAAACAAAAGTGCCATGTGAATCAATCTTGCAAACAATATCTATCCATCACTCACTGGGCACCTGGAAAAATGACCCAAGAAGAAGCTTCAGGACATAGTTCAAAACAACATGAGAAACAATGAGACACAGGAATCAAAAAAGTATCTGAAGAAACATCTGATGTGCACACAAGCTCTAAAAAAAGCCTCTATATTTCTACAGAATTTCTCTTGTCTCCTGGCCAATTTCTTGTGTTGTCAGAAAGTTATACAACATAAGCTTGCAAATAAAAATCAAGAGAGATTGAGTTGCACGGATTCACATACCTCATACAAAGTGATTTACTGAAGCATCCTTAGTAAAACACCAGAAACAACCTAAATGACCATCAATAGCAGACGGCACAGCTTTATAATGGAATATTAGGCAGGCCTTGCAAACAAGGTATTGCTTTTGGTTTTGATGTGGAAGCTCTCCAAGTCACATTGTTAAGTGAAATTGTCAAGGAACAGGATGGAGGGTGCAATATGCTATCATTGTGTAAAAGTGTGGGGGTGTGGGAGCATTATATGTATATATGCTCCAGTAAGCATAAAGTCTCTTTGTAACTATAAAATTGTCATTGGGGAGTACATTTGTGGGATTAATATTCTGGAATGGGAGGGTGACTTACTTTTCACTGTGCCCTCTTGTAGTGTTAGACTTTTTTTCAACCCTGTGGATGTGTTACTTTAAAGAAAAGATTAAGTGTTAGAAGCTGGTGGGGATGGAGGTCTGTTTTTGTTTTTATTTTTTCCACATTGCATGTGCCCTCTGTATAGTGGTAGAATGAGACACCCTGAAGCCCTATTTCAGTCAGTCAGTCAGTCAGGGACATTGATTTAGTTGAGAGTCTGATTTTACAAAGAATACTGAACCAGATACTAATTCACCTTGTAAGGAGGTCCAGCAGAGCTTTCTGCCCCCGTGCCCTACGCAAGGTTAGTGTACACTGCTGCAAAGCCATGGCCATTGTCCTGCAGAGTGGGTAGGTAGGTGGAGAAAGTGAGGATGGCAGTTTAAAAAAATCTGTTATGACTGTCTAACAGCCTCTATGGAAAACAGTGTGGAAATTTCTTAAAGAACTAAAAGTAGAACTACCATTTGATCCAGCAATCCCACTACTGGGTACCTACCCAGAGAAAAAGAAGTCATTATACGAAAAAGATACTTGCACATGCATGTTTATAGCAGCACAATTTGCAATTGCAAAATCATGGAACCAACCCAAATGCTCAGCAATCAACAAGTGGATAAAGAAACTGTGATATATATATACATACATATATATATGTAAATATATGCATGTGTATATATATGTGTGTGTATATACACACACACACACACAGACACATATATATATGACTATTACTCAGCCATAAAAAGGAATGAATTAATTGCGTTTGCAGTGACCTGGATAAGACTGGAAACTATTATTCTAAGCGAAGTAACTCAGGAATGGAAAGCCAAACATCGTATGATCTCACTGATATGTGGGAGCTAAGCTATGAAGACGCAAAGGCATAAGAATGATACATGGACTTTGGGGACTTGAGGGAAAAGGTGCGATGAGGGTGAGGAATAAAAGACTATAAATAGGGTGCAGTATATACTGCTTGGGTGATGAGTGCACCAAAATCTCACAAATAACCACTTAAGAACTTGTTCATGTAACCAAACACCACCTGAACCCCAATAACCTATGAAAAAAAAGTCCGTTATGATTTTCTAAACCAGGTACAATCCATCTAAAAGCAGAAATTAATCTTTCTCCCTGAAATTAGAATTTCACAAAAGTTTTACTCTTATTCGAACTGAAATTTGATATAGTACCCTGGAATGGTTTTTGGTGCTCTGATCTCTGAGCAATGTCATATCCATAAAAACTTAATAAGCAGAAAACAATGGAAGGGAAATAGACAAGGATCTGAATATTGAGCATATCAACTACTTTGCTATTTTCTTTATATTAGCTTATTCAAATTCTAAGTCAGGACCCAGATTTAGGTTTGAATTCCACATTTACTACTTACAAGCTATGTGACTTTGGCAAAGTAAATTTTCTGCGTCTGTTTCCTCTCCTGAAATTGGGAATATAGGAATAAACAAACTATTTTGTAATAATAAAATGATTTAAAACATGTAAAGCACTTAGAAATGGAATATCATCAGGGCACAAAAGTCACAGCTATTTAGAGCATTACTGTTAATCTCATTTTGTTCTTTCCACAGCCCTGAAAAGGTTATATTATCATCTCCAAAACAACAATGGCTAATTTCTAAAATAAGCCTCATCTGTCCATATCTGTGAGAGAAAGTTAATTGGATGGGTCATTCCAGCACATATCATATAATCCCTCATATCCAAGTTTAGAATTAGTTCCCATCTCCCATCAGCAGGAGAGAATCAAGCAAAGCGGTTTGCATTCTAATGGGTAGTGTAAGAGTGATATATAACCATGAGGAAGCATTGAAAATGACTCGCTATTATGTAACCTTGACCATGGACCTAACCATAGTCAATAACATTGAAAATAATGATACTAACCCTTATTCAGCACCTACTACCAGGCACCGTAGTAAGGATTTAACACCTCTCCATCCCATTAGATACAGACAACACCCATTTGAGATACCTGTAATCATTCCCTTATTTTACAGATGCAGAAAATGAACACAGAGAGTAGTTAGGGAACCAGCCCACAGGCACACAGCTGATAAGTGGCAGAGCAGGACTCAAACCTAGGCACTTGAGCCCCAGGGTCCACATGCTCTGAACCAGGCCCCACTAGCAGCACCTGTGAGGCTTATCTTTAACATTACATGGAAAGTCATGCATGCTCAACTTCACAATTCAAAAGCGGATGTTTCATTTTAGCTAAACTGGGCTGACCATGTGCAAAGGGAAATATTGCAGGATCCTCAGGCAATCACTCAAGTGAGTAAACCAGAAAAGAAATCATAAAAGTTTAATGAGCGTCAGCTTCTCCTTTCTAACCCTCACTATTATACCTCAGCATGTGAGATCTCTTTGTCATAAACAAACTTTGGCTTTTTCTGCATTTGGGTTAAATGCCTATGACTAGAGTTCCTAGTAAAGGTTAATTATTAATGTATAACAATAGGTCATCCCAAAGGGACAGAAGGAGGCTTGGCTCCATGGAACAATACGTAGAAAGAGAGATCAGGCATTCCTACAGGAGGCTGGGGACAGAATAAAAAGGAGGGAAAAAAAAAGGCTTTTAACAACATACAAGAGCAGTGAAGAGGAACTCTTCTGCGAGAAGGGTACCTGACTGAGACTGGGAGGGAAGGTGAGTAGCTGGAATGAAGATTTCTGAAGAGATAGGTAAGAGAATCAAGGGCCAGAAACTGGCCAGACAGAGATAACCAGACTTCTCTCAAAGGCTCTTTGAAGGTGAGTGCTCTATCTACTCCATGGCCCTGAAATTACCTGTCTATTTATACGGAATTTTCACTGTTGTGAATAAAAAGCCAACATCACTCTCACTGACAGCTGAATAACCCTTCTGAGTCCCATTTTATTTATTCCAAAGGTAAGAGCCTGGATATCTGTTCTACAAACTGTCCCTCTTTCCAACCCCACAGGGCTGTTGTCAAGATCAAACGGGATGTTAGACATAGTAGGACATGACAATTCTAAACTGGCACACAAAACTAGGAAGAAAGAATCCTATATCTTCATCCCCCATAGTGTTGAGTTTCTGTTGGAAATGGACAGGGTCCTGAACTGAGGTTCTGTGAAGGTTTTTCTACCAAGAGGAAAAGGACAGGAGGGTAAGGGACTTGTAGCCCAGTGATGCTCAACTGGGACTCTCCATTGTTAATATCTTCACCTTCCCCACCTGCTCTGTGCAGAACCACAGCCACAGCCATGCAGAAGTGTACTGGCACCTTGGATCAGCATGGAGGCAGGAAACCCTGCTGGACCCCCTTACAAGGCAAATTAGTGTCTGGTACAATGTTGTCTGTAAAATCAGACTGTCAACTAAATGAATGTCCCCAAATGGCCGGCTGAACTAGGAAGAGATGTGGCATCAAGTGACAGAAAGCAGCCTTGCTGACAAGTTGCCTCGGCGAGGAGAAATTAAAGACAAAGTAGAAATGACTCTCTATGGGGGAAGATGTCACACAGGCTGGGAGGTACAGAAACAGAGTCACAAACAGTGACAAGCTGGTCTTACTCTCCCACCCATGGGCTTGTAAAGACTACTGTTTGGACACATAACTCATGCTTAGGAGACCAGACAGTAAAAGAGCTGAGGAAAGAATCTCAGAGTTAAGACAAAGCCTCTCAGGAAAAAAAATATATACTTGTATTCCTCCATGATCTTTAATACAGAGACATACAGGAACAATATCAGGAGTAAGACAAGCTGAGAGCCGGAACATTGTAACAAAAATTGAGAGTCTACCATGTGCCAGGTACTTTGCAAACACTGTTTTATATCATATACAATAAGCAAATGAAATAGGTAGCATTAGCCCCATTTTACAGACGTGGGACTCAGCAGGGATACATACTTGCCCAAGATCATGTAGGCTATTAAATGCATAAACAGGACTTGAGCCCTTATCTCTCTGACTGCACTGGGGTAAGGATATGCTCCAGAGAGGGCAATTTCTAGGCCCTCCTGTAGCCCATGCCTACACACAAAGCAGAAACTCCTTAGTCATGCACAAAAACCACACCCGAGTCCATCTTGCTGTGCAAAGCCCTTCACCTCCCGTACAATCCATTTCTAATGGATGTCTATACCTCCCCACTTAGGGATCACCTCAAAGGCTTCCGTATGAACCCAGGTGTTATTGCTTCTGCATTTTTGTTCATTGGGTTTCCTAGGCTGCAGTACCTTTCTCTTCTCTCCAGCCTCTCTAAATGATGCCCCTTCACCAAGATTTTCAAATCCATTTGAGAATTTCCCGGGCTACTCTGGTACTTGGTGAT